AAAGTGTGTGAGCGCTCCCTCCCTCCGACCTCTGYCGCCTCCGTCCTCCTGCCTTTTGCCGGAGCTTTATTTTCGGGGTGCTTTGACCCGGGAGAAGTTGAGCGAGGACGGGAGGTGCGAGGGGAACATCCCGGTGCCCGGCTCCGGTGCGCCCGGCCGGGCTGTGCCCGGCAACGAGAACCCCCTGGGCCCTCCTCACCTTCACCCCGCCGCTGCTCCCAAATTATTTCGATTAAAAATATGTGCACGTCCCTATTTGCAAATTCGAAGAGACGCCGCTACGTCCCATCCTACACCATCATCCCCATATATCTTTTAAAATATAATTTAAAATGCATTTATGTCCTCCCCCAGGTGACTCAATTTCCCTTSTTCCARGGGTCAYTTGGCYCCTGGGARGTGGAATTGGGGTGCAGCCGATCYGYGGGTGCGACTGGGGGGACCCGGGGYTGGGGCACCCTGGCACCCCGCTCTGTGCYGGGGAGATTCTCCCCTTTGCTCCCGAGGGTTTCCTCTCACCCATCTTCCCGCTGCTCAGCCCAGGGCTCCTGGCAGGCTYCGTGTCCCCCCTTCACAAATATTTACTTATATACATTAATATCTTTTGTTGTCGTTATTATTCCAGCCACCCCCAGCCTTTTGCTGACCCCCCTTCCTCGCCTTCCCCGGGCAATTCGCTAATTCCATCTCTGCTGTCCATCACATTAATTTCTACAATGACTTCATCCGCTCCACTCCATAATGTATATTTTTAAACCGAGCAGGTTCTTTTAATGTATATTCTGGTGTCATTTCGGTGGCTGTTATTTCTCTCTGGATTGTCCCCCCGGTACAGCAGCGGCCTGTTTTTTCCTCCCCCTGTGTGTGTTTTTATTATTTTCCCCCTGGCTTAGATGTGTCAATCACTCTCTCCCTGCCATTGGTTGGAGAGTTTGCGTCAAAAAGTTGCCAGAGAGGCGCTTTCTCAGCAAAGCTCCCCGAGAGAGGTAGAGACCTTCAGCTCCAACGCACCCTGCCACTATTATTAAAAATAAAATCACTTTGACCAGCTCCAGCACCGGCCAGCTCTGTATGTACCGAGCCCAGACCCCGAGCATCCCCGCATCCCTCTCCTGCACCGTCCCCTCCCCTTTTTCCCCATTTATTCTCCTTTTTCAAACATTTTTTCTCCACCCCCCCTCCGCCCCCCCCTTTCCCCCGATGTCGTGGGCATGTGCATGCGGCGAGCTCTCTAACCTCCCGCTTTGTGCTTTCTCTCCCAGCTCAGCCCGAGCTCTGAATTTGGCGAGGATCCGGGAGCAGGTTTCCCCCTTCGCCCCCCAGCCCTGCCCGCGGCTCCGCCGAGGCTCGCAGGTAAGTCGGACCCGCTGGCTCCATCCTTCCTCGGGGGCATCGCTGGGCGGGCAGGAGCACAGGGAGAGGAGAATTAATTTTTTTTTTTTAATTTATTGTTATTTTTTAAATATCCTGTGTGCCGTGGGGGTGCGCGGTGTCGGGGAACTGCCCGGGAGAGGCCGGGCCGGGCCGGGCGGTGGCGGCCCCGGGTCGGGGACAGGCGGCGGCCCCGGGTCGCTGCTCGGCAGGGACCGGGAGCTGCGGGATCAGAAGGCGAAGGGCCACACCGGGAAGCCGGAGGAGCTCCCCATCGTCGCCCTCGCCCCCCGACCCTCGTTCCCCGCGGTCGGGCGGGGGTCGGGCGCGGAGCCGCTCGCTCCTCGGCGGGCAGGCGCGGGGCTTCGCCGCGATTTCGTTTGGTGCATGATTTTTTCCCCGGCCTGTTCCTTTGGCCTGTAGTTATTTCCTGACCTCAAGCTGGACTTTTGAAATTAGGAGGGGCAAAAAAAAAAAAAAACCGGGGAGAAATTTCTCCCCTCTTTCGACTCCTACCTGAGAACCCTTTCATCCTCTTCCTCGCGATGCGGAGACTCAGCAAAGTAATTTTGCAAAGGTGTTTCTGAGCACTCACGGCCCAGAGAACCGGGCTGGAAAGCGCAGGGAGAGAAATCTTCAAGGCATTTATGGCCGGACCTTTACGATTTGGTGTGGGCGACACGGATGGCGAGAATGGCATCCAGGTCGGAGAGGGGCTGGAGCTGGTTTCCATCTCCCTCATCTTATTTTATTTTAATTTTTTTTATGCCGTGGGAAAACGCTTCCCAAAGACACCGGCCGCGAAGAAACGCGCCCCGGCCTCTCCTCTGTAYCGCACCGCGCTGACAAAGAGAAAGTCGGGAAAAGTCCTTGTGCACCGGCACAAGTTTCCTTGGAACTAAAAACCTGCTTCTCTGCTGAGGTTTATTTCGATTTCGGCTGCTCAGAGAAGTTGAGGCWTATTATTTATTTATTTTGGAAAGGTGCAACTCTAGTTATAAAAAAATAAATTAAGAAGAGGGAGAGGGAAAAAAAGCGCTTAAAAATGCGGTCGGGTGCTGCTGGGAGGCAGGGAAGGGTCAGACGGCCCTGCAGCGGAGGTGGCTGCCCGCCGAGGCCGGCTCTGCCGCTCCCGCTCCCCGAGAGGGGCCGCGGCCGCGGAGCAGCGCGGAGGTTCGGAAGGCGAAGCGTTGGGGACCTCCCGGCAGAGCCGGTGATGGGTCCATTCCCGCCGCCTTTGCACCGGGGGGRAAATTCGCGTGTTGAGAAATATCATCCCGAACCGTCCCTCCAGGGAAAAAAAAAATACTTGATTTAAAAAAAAAAAAAATTAAATACATTAGAATTTTCAAAATATCAGAAATTGGAGCGCGGCGAGGGCAGGGAACGCGGCTCTCGTTTGCAAAACAAAAGAAAACAAATTCCCTTTTCTACTTTGGCACCTTTCCCTTCGCCCTCCGCGGGAGCCCCTCCGCGCTGCTCCGCGCCCCGGCCGAGCCCCCCCGGCCCCCGCGTCCCCCCGCAGCGCGGCCGGGGGCAGGGGCGCAGGCTGCGCGCCCGGGCGCGGATCGCTGCCCCGCATTAATCACCGGGGCGAGCAGCGGAGCCGGGGCCGGTGGCTCGTAATTAGGGAGCGTGTGCCGCCCGGATTATCTCGTTAGTTTATCAAGAAAACATTTATTATAATTAATTCTCGGACGGGGTAATTATTATTGAGCGAGGGCAGAGCAACTGGTAGCCGGGATCTATGCGGAGCGGGGGGGGAGCGGGAGGAGGGGGAAAGGTGACAGATTGCGGAGTGGAGCCGTTGCTCCGCGGGCTGCGGGCGGCCCGGGGATGCGCGGCCGCGGCCGAGGGGCTCCGCGGGCGGCCGCGCCGGGCTGGCGCCTCGGCGGGATGCCGCCGAGTTTAACCGAACAGAGCTTTAGGGTTGGTTTTTTGGGTTTTTTTTTGGAGGAGGTGTTCGCGCTTTTTTGTTGTTTTGGTTTTATTTTTTCTTTTCCTTTTCCCCCGTTTTTTGGGGTTTTTTTTTTTTCTTCTTTTAATTTTTTATCCGCTCGTTTCTAACCGGGCAGCAACCCCCGCTTTGCTCTCCCGCGCGTCTTGCGCGGCGGCCGAAGCCGCACGGCCGCGGAGCGGGACTCCCCCCTCGGAAGAATCGTCCCCGTTCTGCTCCCCTGGGGCGGTGATGGTAAAAGCGGGGCTCGATCCTGCGCACCCCGCGCTGGATGCGCGCTCCCTGCGCCGCTCGGCGCGGCAAATCCCTTCCCCGAGGGGAGAAGGGGAAACTCCGCGCCGAGGAGAACCCGCACCGACGGCGCCGGGGGTGCACCGGGGCCGGGGGATCCTGCAGGAGCCCCCAGGCTGCTCCTGGCCCTCCCGGGGAGTCGGCTGGGCTGAAACACGGAGTTTTGGGGTGTTTCGGGAAGAAAGTTGTGCTGGAGTTCGTTTTCCCGACGGCAGCTGAGAATGGAGAGAAGGGCGAGCTTCTGCTCTAAAAGATATATTTTTTAAAATATCTTCTAAGGGAAAAACAGCCTTAACCTTTTTAGAAGTCCCGCTTTGGCCCCTTGCCGGCCTTTTTTTTTTTTTTTTTTTTTTTTTTTTTTTTTTTTTTTTTTTTTTTTTTTTTTTTTTTTTGGCAGAGTTTGTGTTTGGGTCCCCTCTCAGTCCCCGCTGCTGAGATCCCGGTCCCGTCGGGGCAGCGAGAGGGGACCGGGGGAGCCGCTCGCCCGCCGGGGCTGTCCCGGGGCCGCTCGCCACCGAGGTGTTTGTTTAGCTTCAGCTCCGTCATCAAGAGTTTCTTGAAAGCCTAATAAATCTGTTACTTGCCTCCAAATCTAATTACCCGGAGTACTAATTAGGTGCAAATGGCCGGTGGAAATTACTGCAGACGTGGACTGATGGCGGGAGAGCAGAAAAGTTTGGCTCTTCCCGAGCGGGCATTTGAGCTCTGAAATGCAGCAACGTCGGGGGGAAGGGGAAAAGGGGGAGAGGGGGGAAGGTTTGAATGTTGCCCAAACCTGGGATAATTAAAGTCCTTGCAAGAGACTAGTGGAGAGATAGGTTTCTTGAATTGTTTCTTTGTTTCTCACCCTTGGGCTTTGTTATCTGCATTATTTATTTAGCCGAGGGGTTCTTTGTGTCTGCCAATGGCCCCAATCAAGTTTTTCTTGAGACAATTAGCCGGTGCCCGGCCGGGAATCCTATGCAAATGCCCCCGGCTGCYGTACAATGCGGGCAGTTGAAGGCATGGGGGGGTTTTGTTCGGGCAGTAATTACTGGCGGGGATGTGCCCCCCTCCTTCCCTTCCTCGCCCCCTTTTTGGGGAGAGATGCGTTGATCTAGTCAGTCTCTCGCAGCTCCCAAATCCGGCCGGGGTCCGAGCGGGAGGATTGACGGTGGGGGGAAGGCAAGCGGGGATAAAAGCGGAGGGGGTGGGGGGCAGCGAGCTGGCCTGACTCCCCCTTCATCCCTCCATCGCTCCCTCCTCTCCCTCCTGCGCAGGCACCTGGCGGTCCCCCCACGCCCGACGGCTCCCCCAGGCACCGCCCGGGGCAGGCAGGGCGCTCGGCCGGCTCCCCCTCGCCCGGATTTCGGCCAACTCTCCTCCCCGCCACAACTTTAGCATGATGTCTTATCTTAAGCAACCACCTTATGCAGTCAATGGCCTGAGTCTCACAACCTCGGGCATGGATTTGTTGCATCCGTCCGTCGGTTATCCCGGTAAGCCACGTTTTTCTTCCCTCATCCCTCCCCCTTTTTTTGCACCACGGAGGGGAAGCCTCTGGGATTTTGGAGGCACAACATGCCCAGGGATCACGCTGGTTTGGGTGGGTGAAGGCGTGGGGTCTCTCTGCCTTCCTTCCTCCTAACCCCCAACTTTTTATCCGTGAGAGGGGCTGCAAAAAGGGGARACCCCCACGCTGGAGATGGGGGCCAGACGCCCCAAGCGCATCCAGGGGAGATGCGGGGTTGGGATTGCGGCACGGTGGCGGCTGATCCTGGGGGTGCTGATCCCCCGGGAGAGGGGAGGGAATGCCGGAGCCCTCCTGGGGAGGGTTCGGAGGGGACACAGGGGTCTGAGGGGCCGCTGACTGACAGCCAGGGCCTCTGGCTCCGTTCGCAGCCACCCCGCGAAAGCAGCGGCGGGAGCGCACGACCTTCACCCGGGCGCAGCTGGATGTGCTGGAGGCTCTTTTCGCCAAGACCCGCTACCCCGACATCTTCATGCGGGAGGAGGTGGCTCTGAAAATCAACCTGCCCGAGTCCAGAGTGCAGGTAGGAAGCGGAGAGGTTCCGGAGAGCCCTGCCCGCCCTCCCCCTCCATAGCGGCGTGAAGGGTTTGGGCTGGCCTGCGGCTGACAGGGAAGGAGATGAGGGCACTGCTTTAGGGGATGGGCTCATTCCTGAAGCCAGATCAAGCCCTTGTGGGGTGAAGGAGGCTCAGAGATGGCTGCGGGCTCAGTAAGGGGATGCAGCCGCGTTTTGCACCCCCAGGGTTGGAGTTTGCCCCCCTCCCTGTGCCCTGTTGTGCAGAGCCTGGATCCCAGCCCTTGAAACTTCCACACCCATCCCAGGGCCCCTTGACCTCTCTGAGGACTCCCCAGCGCCCCCAAATCTCAGCCTGTCCTTCAGGCATTTGGGGGCCCTGCAGAAGCCACAAAGGATTCCCCCACATCCCCAAAACTGGGCCAGATTGGGATCCCTGCTCACACCAGTACACACTGGGGGTTTCCTCCCACTTTGAGKGGGTTTTGATGAGAACGGGGCTGCCTTGGTGGAAGGGACCCCTCTCCTGGGGCTGGGCTGTGTCTCCTCTGCAGGGACCCCATCCAGGCAGCGTTTTGGAGGTGCTGCTGGCAGGGCAGGAGGGTCCTGCCCCCTGTGGGATCTAGAACACCCCAGCAGCAGGGACAGGGCGTCTCCAGAGCCATCCCTCCCACTTTGCTCCTGGCGAGGCTTCCCAAGGCTCTGTGGTGCCATGTCCCGGTGATGGCTGGGATTGGGATACCCCCACATCAAACCCCATCCTTCATCCCACAAAGCCTCCCCAGAGCCAGCCAGGGGGAAGCTGAGATGGTTTGAGGGGCCAGCTCTGGCGGAGGCAGTGAGAACCTCCTGTTTGTAGGGTAAATGAGACATCATTACCCTCCTCCCCATCACGAACCTCTGCTTCCCTAATTGTTCCCTCCCTTTCTGATGTTCCATCATTTCTAATTAAGGGCTCGACATCAATAGGCCTTGAACAGCGATTCCTGGGGGTCCCCGGCTGGCAGACAGCACAGAGGGAACGCTTCCCCCTCTCCCCCAAAAGCAACCTTATTAAGGAATTTGATTTGTGATTTCCACTCGTTATTGCTGCTAATGATCTCAGGGAGGGGGAGCCCCGGAGCTTTYCTTCGCAGAGCCCTCCGCTCTTGGGGGACAGTTTTAGGTTCCCCTCCCCGACAAGATCTCCCTGCCACCTTGGCTTTGCCCATGCATCCCTAACCCCAAGCTTTTTCTCTCTCCCTCCCTGGCCTCTGTCTGCAGGTGTGGTTTAAAAACCGCCGAGCCAAGTGCCGGCARCAGCAGCAGCAGCAGCAGAACGGGGGCCAGAACAAGGTGCGGCCGGCTAAAAAGAAGAATTCGCCAGCCCGGGAAGTGAGTTCGGAGAGCGGGACCAGCGGGCAGTTCACTCCCCCCTCCAGCACCTCGGTCCCCACCATCTCCAGCAGCAGCGCCCCCGTGTCCATCTGGAGCCCGGCRTCCATCTCCCCGCTCTCAGACCCCCTGTCCACCTCTTCCTCCTGCATGCAGAGATCCTACCCCATGACCTACACCCAGGCATCGGGCTACAGCCAAGGATAYGCCGGCTCGACCTCCTATTTCGGAGGGATGGACTGTGGATCTTACTTGACCCCTATGCACCACCAGCTCCCCGGGCCGGGGGCCACCCTGAGTCCCATGGGTGCCAACGCGGTCACCAGCCACCTCAACCAGTCTCCGGCCTCCCTCTCCACCCAGGGCTATGGAGCCTCCAGTTTGGGCTTTAACTCCACCACCGATTGCTTGGATTATAAAGACCAAACCGCCTCCTGGAAGTTAAACTTCAATGCTGACTGCTTGGATTATAAGGACCAGACGTCGTCATGGAAGTTCCAGGTTTTGTGAAGAAACCTTTGTGATACCGAGAGAAATCGCCACGAGAACGAACAGGCTGGGCTGAGCGCTCCAGTTTTAGTCAGGTCTTGGTTAAATTAAAGAGAGAAAAAAAAAAAAAAATAACTCCACGGACAAAACAAACGAACAAAAAAACCGACAGCGACGAGAGGGGGACAGTGTTTGTGTGATCCCGTTCGGACTCATCTCCTGCTCAGACGCTCTGGAAAAGGAATAATAAAGAGGAAAARCGGAGGAGGAAGGCCTTAAACGGACAGATCATCTAGTGAGCAGAAACCAGACAGACCCATCTGTGTTCTTTCTAGTTTTAGGCAATTGTTGGGTTTCTTTGTTTGGAAGAGGTGGGAGATCGTCCCACCTGCGGGCCAGTTTTAAAAAAAAAAAAGAGTCTAGGTTTTTATTTCTTTTTTTTGTGTGTGCGTGGAAAGATGATCCTTCACCCAGAGGTTTCCAATGTGTTAGCCAACCCTCGGTTAAAATATTCAGAATGGACAACATCTCTCTTTTTGTCCCTCTTTTTGTCCCTCCCTCTTTCTTTCTCTCTCGAGCTCATCCAACTGTTTCATGCCCAACTTGCTCAAGTTGGCACCCGGAGAACTTGGTTCAGGGCTGTGTGGGTTGTGTGACTGATTGTCCTAGCTGCACTACTTTATTTAAAGATTAAGAAAAAAAAAAGATAATGTTCATAAGGAGTCAATATGTAGTTTTTAAGAGACAATCAGTGTGTGTCTTATATAAATGGTACATCTGTGGTTTTTAATCTGTGCTAGACTTCAAAACTGTGATCTCCTGTATTGTATGCAACTATGAACTCTGCACCAGCGGGAGTTCTGCTGTGATTTAAATAGGTTATAATTATAAGTGAAATTCAGAGCAACTGAGTTACCTATTATCATCTTTTAAAAAAA